AGACAAAAACTGGTTCACCCGAAAGAAAAAACGCCAAAATACAGACTTAACAATGTGGTGTATGCTGTACAGTGCAGCAAGGAATGCCCAGACCTCTACATTGGAGAGACCAAACAGCCACTTCACAAGCGCATGGCACAACACAGAAGAGCCACCTCCACAGGACAAGACTCAGCAGTCCATCTGCATCTTAAGGATAAAGGACACTCTTTTGAGGATGCCAACGTTCACATTTTGGACAGAGAGGACAGATGGTTTGAAAGAGGAGTGAAAGAAGCCATCTATGTCCACTGTGAGCGGCCATCTTTGAACAGAGGCGGGGGTTTACGACACCAACTCTCTGCCATCTATAATCCAGTTTTGAGATCCCTTCCCAGACGCCTTAACGCCCACTCACATCCTGGGCCATCTGACCTCAGGAATTCGCATGATAAGGTGGGGCCAGGTTTCACAATGAACACACCCGAAACTCTGGCCTATTGGGACCCACACCCAGTTTCACACCTTGGCTCAGGCGATTAGAGGATCATCAGGGGGTCCTTTTGTCCCTCTGTGGGGGGTTACTCCCACTAGGTTTATATCAGGGACTCTCCACCATTTGACCTTAGAACTGAAGAAGCTTCTCGGATGAGAGGTGAAACGTCTTCAAGCAACTTAAAGAAGTCCAGACGCTTTTCTTTGCAAGCTCCTTTGACTACGATGACCTGGATGACTGAGAACCTTCACAGACCTATTAGGACTGTCGGCCAAAGAAAAATAAGAGCATCTGCCGTTTTAGCAAATGGCCCAAAATGATTGTTGGTCAAATTAATGTTGGGAATCATTTTGGTGACCATAGGAATTATTAATGCTGACCATGAGGGGCTGTTTCATACTGATGGTCTTGTGTTTCTTTGGTTTGTTTTAATCATAGCGATTGCCTCTAAAAAATTTGGGGGGTTTTAAGTATTATATTTGACTTAAGGCAAATAAGCCACTAAGTCTAATGTTAGCCAACAGCTTGGAAAACATCAGACTTACTGGCTTATTGGCTCACTAGTCATTGTGCAGTTCATCAATAAGGTAGTCTCGAAGCTGAAGGATAGGTTTTATGATGGTTTTAATCCTTGTCAGCATCTTTATATTTCGACAGACAGACAGACAGACAGACAGACAGACAGACAGATAGATAGATAGATAGATAGATAGATAGATAGATAGATAGATAGATAGATAGATAGATAGATAGATAGATAGATAGATAGATAGATAGATAGATAGATGCCACTTGTCATCAGTTACATAACTAAATTCATTATGTAGGCTGGATATGATCAGCAGTAGTTTCTGTGCCTTCTACATCCTACTCTCCACCTTTTGGCCTCAGTCCAGGCCAATTACCCCAAAGCTTTGCTCTCTTTGCTAGCTTGGCTCCTCTCCTCAATGTTCATTCTTCTGTAGTTTCCCTCCCTTCCATTCCAGACTAGATATAGGGCAATAATAGAGTGCCGACTGGGGAGTGGGGAACGCAGGCATGGGTTAATCTGTTGACCCCTAGTCGTTGTATACTATAGACTTACCTCAACATGTTTCTCTGAAGTCTAGACCTCAGCTATTACTCTAACCTATCTGAAAGAGAATGTTTCTTAATCCCGCTCAAAGTGTAGGTCAAGGTTCACAGTGTTCTTACTTGTGAATGTAGGATTTCAGAAAAAGGGAAAATAGCATTTATCATGTCATATAGTTAAAGGAAGTTAGTTTAATCATGCAAAAGCTAATGAAAAGCAATCATGTCTCAAAATGTAAAAAGAAGAATAAAGTAAAGTAAAAGAAGTAATAGTTGGTAAGCTACAAAAACTATGACTGATTTATATTATTAGGACAAAACCGGGGGATTAGCTACAACAAATTTCTGGCCAGAACTTCAAATAGTATTTCAGACAGATCTGTTTCATTTTTACTGAATAGACCTTAAAGTAAATCCAGTATACATTTGTTTGTAATCTGCCAAAATTGGAGTAATGTTAGCCTTGAAACCAAATAAATTCAAGAGCTCATTTTTTATTTTTCTCTAGGCCCTCTCCTTCAGACACAACACTGATGTGTGCCACAAAACACCCTGCCATATGTGCAAAAGGCTTCAGTATCAACTATGGTGAAGTGTAACCACACCTGTAAATGTTTAGCTCTCGCTGTCATTGCCACCAAAAGAGTCCCTCTAAGTGTGCGTACTGCAGCAGGTGCTTCCGACCATCCACACAGGTGCAGACTGAACGATCAGTTTTCTGCATGGAAATAGCAAAAGAGCATCCTAAACAAATGCTTTAATGTCTTAATGCTATTGCAAATAACAAACATAGCATTAAATTTGACACAGGAGGCATGCACAGTCCAATCGTGTGAGTGTCTCTCGTTCAGAGTTGTGCCATACTGAAAGCGATACATGTTAAATGTTGTGGTGCTTAAGATTTCAATAACAAGTTTTAGTTAAATGTGACCTGTCTATGATGCTAGCATGTTCAAATTTAATTTTTGAATACAGGTCATTTAATGCAGGCCAGTTGTTGACTGAATTCTTACATGCATGAATTTGGTACACGCAGTTCACTGATGGGGAAATGTTAAAATGAAATTTTAAAAATTTCCCCAAAGCGGGCTAACAGGGACATTAGTAGTGTACGTGCCTTAAACTAGAGCTGGGATGTCGAGTCGTTTTACATCGAATGCCACATACAGCTTACATTAATCTCAAATGGACCAGACTAGTCAAACTCTCCTATCTCAGTATAAGCACGTTAAAATACACATTAGATGTCTCAGATATCTCAGTATAAGAAAAAGAAGTGCAATTTCAACAGTGCGACTTAGTTTTTCTACATTATGAAAAATACTGCTGTAGTAAAGGAAAGAAACCTATGGTGCATTATGTAAAACTTGTTAAAACCAATAAATAAATGTGTCCCAAAAAAATGAAACAAATCTGTCAGCATGACTTAAATTCTACGACCTAAATTGTGTAATATAATTCAAAATGAAAATTTTTCTTAATTCACAATTTAACTTTTTTTTTAACTGGAGCCATTGTAAAAACAAATCAATAAAAACTCCATAAATTTCTATAGTCAATAGTAAAAAAAAACTTTACTGTATCTATTATTTTACTGTTGTATGGAAACGTCTTTATTAGCAGGAAAAGCTGTAAAACCTCTGAAACTACAGGTAAAAATTGAAAAGCGATGCCGTCCTTTATATTTTCTAAAGCTGTCCAGTGTGCTAGTCTTTTCCAGGCCAATTCTAGTGCCCTGGGCCTTATTTTTGACCACCCTGGCACGCAGCATAATGGTGTGCTGATGTGTAGTACTCATTTTTGTCAGATGTTTTTGATTTGGTTGCGGCTGGATTATATTTTATCTGTTCAGCATTATTCGATTTTTGATCATTCCCTCACATTAACCTGTTTAACCTGCAGTGTGCGACATCACAGATGACCTGCTGTGGTGGCCGCTGTTAAAAGTGTTAAAGTGCTCCATGTTAACACGGCGTAATTGAATTAGTCCTAGGTATGTTTCCCATTCATTCATTGATCTCATTTAGTCTTGTCTCCTCCATTGTTTGCCTTCAGCTGAACAGATTGCTGTAATAACATTCACATTTATAAAGTGCTACTTACCAGAGATTTCAAAAGGGCTATTCACATCTCATATAACACATCATCGGCGCCAAGGATCACACTGAAAGTGTAAAGGCATTAGCTTCTCTGAGTGAGACTTGAGCATCTGATCTGAGAGAGGGAGATACCAGGCAGTGCGGGGCTGGAGCAAGAGAACATTAAAAGTGAAGAGGTGAGGGCCATTGGGTGTACTTTTGTTTGTGCTCTCCATCTGCTGGGTGTAATTAGCAGGGTGTCGGAGAGAGAGAGGGAGAGAGAGACAGAAAGAGAAAGTGTCACAGAAAAGTGTGAGAGAGGTGTGAAAGTTAACGAGAAGGACGGTAATTTGAAAAGGAATAGAGGGAATAAGAAAATATTAGAAGAGGACTCAAGTGGGCCTCGGTCTAATATTTTAACCTGTTTAATTGAAGTGAATGGATAACACCAGGCACACTTGAACTTGTTAATGAGAACAGTGCAGCGTTCATAATTTGAAATGCTCCTCTCTGAAGGAGTGCATGGAGTATGACAAAGTTAATGCAATTTATCAACCCATGCAAAAAGGGGTGAGTGCAGTCAATCTGTATTGTAAGCCTATTATGTTACAGTTTAAGAAATTCTTATAAGAATTATAAGATTCTATTAATACCAAATTATACATCCAAATATGTTCTTGAAGTTCATCTGTGGGTTTTAGTTTCTAAGTAAAGATTGTTTTAAATTCAAACTTAAAAACATTTGATGTCCTACATCCCATCCTTTCTTACTAGCATGCGTCGTCTTTGATGCTTTTATCGCGACTTAACTGCCAATCAGCAGCACAAATGATACAGGAGACCCATGGTGCACGCACAAATGGTTTTATGCCTGCATATGAGAATTCACAGACAAACAAAACAGTAGCCCATTTATTTAATTTTTAAAAAAGTCTCCGTGACACTAACAGTGATAATAAAAAAAGATCTTTCCGATATCAGCCACGATGCTTGTAGTTCCCGGGATGTGTAACTATGCTTGCAGTCAGTTACTGACAGCATTATCACTACATAAATTACAGATGAACTCAATAAAGAAGTGAAAAAGGGAAGGGGAGTGTGACAGAAATAAAGCGGGTTTAGGAGAAGCAGCTTGTGGACAGGTTGGAGGAGGTCAGCCAGCCTAAGGGAGGTACAGAGATAAAAGACAGCACAGTGAATGCAGTATCCATATTACATGAAATAGAGACTTGCACATGGCTCATCCACCACCTTCCCTTCCAAAGGATTCTTGTTGTATCCCAGGAGACATGTTGAATTATCAACTATGCAGGTTTTGTTTCTCTCTCTGACTTTCTTTGGTCTCCCTCTCTCCCTCTCTCTCTCACTCCATCTAGGAAACACAAACAGTGTTTTTGCCCTGGACTACATCAGTGGATCCCTGACAGTGAATGGGCAGCTGGACAGAGAAAACCCCCTCTACTCAGCAGGATTCTCTCTGACTGTCAGGGTGAGCTGCCGAATGTGGGGGGAGTTATTGTGTGGAGGGACTGTCGTAGGCTAGAGAAGAGACTGAAAGGCTGCTTCACCGCTGGATTAAGAGAGAACTTTGATATGAAAGTGTGTTCTATATAGTCTCCAAAGACCAACTAAACAGATCTCTTAGACTGGATATACAGTCTGTCGCTTATGCAGGAAATCAGTTAGAACTAGATATGTATGATGTGCGTGCAGTATATCTTTAGATGCTTTGTCAATATGCTTCTGCACAAATGAGACTCTGACAAACTCAAGTGCTTTTATTGGGCTCATTAGTGGCCATATTCATGCTTGCGATTCTGTGATAATGTCCCCTCCAGAGGCTCGTGCTGAATGAGCAGATATTAGAACAAGGGGAGCAGAGAACAAGAAAGAGGAAGAGGATTTAGAGTCCTCCTTAATGCTGAGGCCTCCTTTGTTCCTCCATTTTTTCCCCTTTTCTCTTGTTTGAAGTAGGTGTGATCTCTGAATCCCTCTATCCCTCCATGAGCCAAGTCTGTCTCGCTTGGCTTTTTAGCATGTCACTCCTTCCCTCTCGCCCCCCCCTTGTCCCCCCACCTCCCAACCCGGAGCCTTGCCACCTTGTCCAGTCCTCCACTTTTGTTGTCATTATTTCTTCTCCTCCACCATTGTACACCGAGTGGTTCCCACAGGGTGTGAGGGCGCGTGAAATGGATTTCCAAGTCCTGCTGAAAGCGGAAAGATTTGTGAACAAAGGCCTCATTTTTCTGTGTAGTTACAATATTCCATTCGTGATCTTGATAGCTTGACAAGTCAAATCTGCCACACCTTAAGAGAAATGGCCTCTCTGGCGTTTGTGCATTTACTGATTTGGCTGCAATTATTGGTAATAAAAAGCAGGTCGCGTGACATTTTTATACGAGAGACCATTGAGATACATTTGGCTCTGAGGTTTAATACAAAAAGAGATTCTGGCAAACATATTCCAGGCTCAGGCTTGTCTTTTTAATTGAAATCAATAATTACTAACCAGAAAAGTAGAATGAGCAAAAAGGCTGGAAAAGAAAAAAATGTCACCCAAAAATTTATTTATAAGATATGGATTTTTCTCCCTCCTCTCTAAATTTTCTCTCCTCTTCTTGTGCTTTCTTAGCCGGTGCTGCTATTGATTGGAGTGTGCCGTAGTAATACAACTAATTTCTCAACTTCAGGCAGCTTAGATAGCACTGAGCACGTGGAGGTGGAGGTCAAATTATTCTGGAGCACTGTTACGAAAGAGGCTAAACTATCTGATTATCCAGACTAGCATGTTGTTTCTGCTTCTCCTCCTATTGCCTGTGACACTCGTTCGTCAATAAAAGACAGTGGTTGCCCCTTTCTATCATTCCCTCCTATTTTTTTCATTTCAGAGGGCAGCCATCTTCAATAACTGAGGCAGGCAAAAACAGAGTGTGTGTAATTGTGTCTCCTCAATTGGACTTCTTTCACCTAAATCTCATTGTGTGTTCATGCGTATGAGTGTGTATGTGTGGATGTACATGTGCTGGCCTTCTCTTGGCCTCACTTTGAGCCTATTTCTGTGATTGCTTTTAGGCCGTCTGTCTACCTTTTGATCCAATAAATGAACAGCTGTAAATACCGAGTGAGATTGCGTGCTGACCGTCTCCATCCAGAATGACATTTTCAGTCCAATCAAATGGATCGCTCTCTCTCACTCTCGCTATGTCTCTCTCTCTCTTTTTTCTGTGTCCCTCTCTCTTTCTCTCTCTGATGAACATTTCCTGCTCTGGCTTCCTGTTAGGCCACCGAGCTGAATGATGACCGCAGTCCATCTAGGGCAACTGTGGTGACCACCTTCACCATCCTGTTAATTGACAAGAATGACAACGCCCCGAAGTTCAACAGTTCTGAATATCGGGTCCGCATCACCGAACTGGCACAGGTGGGCTTTGCCCTGCCCCTCTTCATCCAGGCAGAAGATAAGGACGAGGTGGGTAGATCACATCTTAATGGTTTCCACTATTCACAACATTTGTATGCCCCTGTGCTGACAACAGCTGTAGTGGGAGGCATTACGTTTTTGGCTTCTCTATTCTCATCAACACCTTTCTTTTAATTACACAAGAACATTTGATCAGACTCAGGAATGAATGCAATATGTCCGGAACATCTGAAGTGACTTTCATGGCATCTGTTGCAAATATTCTCATGTCAGTGATTGAATTTAGCGGTTACAAAACCAGTTTTTGCCCACAACTGAAGACTTCTTAGATCAGTGCTGGCAAAACTTTACACGTCAAAAGTCCTGGTGCACAAAATAGGCAGACAATAACACAATCAAACATTAAAGTATTTCCAGTGACAACTTCAGTGACCTTTCAAAATTATGTCCAAAAAGGAGTAGTAAACAATTTCTGATGAATAACTGCAAATATTCAACACACTTTTTTGCCCCAAGTCCTCATCTAGCAATCCTCAGGGCTGTGAGCCAGGCTCATCTAGGGGTGGCCAGTTAGCCGGTGAAATTTCCCCCTTTAGTAATGCTGATGGCTTACCCACCTGTGGTGATAGCCCTGGGTGGATTATGATCAATCGACCATTTCTTGTAAACCTGGTGGGGCTTTTGTCAGAAATGTGGTAATTAATCAAAATGCTACAAGTGAGTATTTATCTATTCATATCATTACTGAACTGCAATAATTTGAATAATGGACACAGTGTGACATCTTCAAGCTAAAAATTTATAGAAAATAAGCAAAGATAGACGAAATCTGTTGTTTGTTTTGTTAGAAATCTTTTAATTTAATTTTGGGGAAACATGAAATGTCTAACTGGATAAAATCATGAAATCATGCAACAAAGACAAAGCATGTCTTTAGGCATTCATCAGTGCCATAACTGAGGAAAATAGGTAAATGTGACAGTATATTTCTTGTTTGGTAAGATACAGACATACTAAAATATTATCATTGATCTTTTGTAAGTTGTCTTTGCATGTGGGATACTGATTAGTTCAATCCTGGCATGCTTTTAAAGATTATATCAGATAAAAGATGCTGTCTTTACCACATTCTAATATTCTGTCTGCCTTAGACCTTTAATTTTGCTACATAGTTCTATTGTACAGTACAGTATGCTAGTGTAAAAGAGAACAAGAGTAAATCAGGATGTGACAAAATGTTAGATGTATTTTTGCATTCCTGCATCATACAAGCAGATCCAATATTCAGTATGAAGAGAATGTGATTAGTGCAATAAATAAACCTGATTGGAACACGCAGAATTGATAGTTCAAAGTTTGTTTTTATCAGATTTCAGACTTTTTACTTTCAGTTGGAATAGATCGGCACTAACAAGCTAACAAGATACATTTTAATCTATCTTGTTATCTTGTTTATAAATGCACAGCCAAAAAAGAACATCAGCCACTCTGTGAAACTATATTTCACTATGTCATGTGGATTGTGTGGATTGTCAGCAGGAGTGTGCTACAGCCTCCTTTGGTTTGCCCGCCACTTCCCATTTACTGTATCTATCAGCCTACTGTGGTGACACGCAGTCACATACACTCAGACACCAAAATATACACAGAAGTCAAACATTTTAGGCTTGCTCTGTCTCACTCGTTTTCTCTCTCCCTCGCTCACATATGCACACGCTCGCTCACACCAGCGCATTGGACTCGACTACAATTTAATTTGCTCTGGAAGAGATGGGATAGAGCATCAAATTATACCTAACGAGGAAAATCAATCACCTAGGGTGCAGATAAGCTGAAAACTAGTCAACTCTGATTGATTCAGGCGCAGCAGCCGCCAGGGTGGAATTTGACAGATAACTGTGAGTCAAGTGGATAGAAAAGAAGGTAGAGAATAAAGAGAAACAGACTTGCGGAGGGGAGAGGAGAGGAGCAAAATCATAAGTCGTAGTAATTGGTGGAGCAGGAAGAAAACAGTCAGGAGAGGAATACAGCACTTGAAAGGAGAGATAGCAGGAATATTTAGCAGCAGGTCTGTTTATCCATTCTAGGGATGGCGTGTTTGCTTCTGCCTGTGTTCCAGCAGCAAGCAGAGAAGAGAGCACTGCAAGCGTGTTGCTGCACGCAGGTGGGGTGACGACCCAGACACCTTGGCATGAGATAAGAGGTCTCTCTGTAGGTTAGCAACCAACATTTTACCACCACCAATATCAGCGTTCGCTCAGGGGAGGCTTCCAGGCACCTAACATATCTGGGCTAAGATTGCTTATTGCAAATGGGGGAATGGCTCCGAGACGGTTTTAATTTACTAGATTCGCCGTAGATGCTGCATTCGAAAGCACTTACCAGAATCGGCGCATTAGCAGCCCCAGCTCACTGTTAAGTCATCATCATGCAACAAAACAAAAGACATCAAAAAGAGCTTAAAAAGCAAAGTGTCACATGGAAAAAATATAAAGAGAAAATGCAGAAAACGTATTCCGGGGCATTTTAAACTCTACCAGTCTTGCATTGTTACTCTGCTGTGATAGAGCCACGAGTACATCAATTGCAAGGAGTAAAGCCCACGAGGTGTTTTTTGTCTTGCAGTTTTTTTATTGCTTTTTTGATCTTTTAAACCTGCATGTCATTGCCGATACACACAAACTCATTCACACTCCACTACACCTGCTCTGTAATCTCACTCCTTCCATGTGTAAGGGATTATAGGCAGACATTTCTTTTCTTAGACTATGACACAAGTGGTAGTTACCTCTCTGTCTGTCGCTGCCTTCATATCCTCTTCTACTTGGCTAGCATCTTTAAAAACTTTTTGCTGCTGGAGCTTGTCACTAAACTTTGTGGCAGTTGCATCTGACAGGATGCTTTTATTGGGGGCTTCTAAAGGCAGAAGCAAATGGACGGGCAATTACATTTATGGGCAGTTTGAGGTGACATCCCTGCATATTGGATGGTCTTTTAAATAGGAGTCATCAGCCACAATGGTTCTCCCACAGACGAAAACAAAAACAAGGGGGCTATTTCAACTGGCAGCATAATGCCAATTGACCACGTCACCCGTCTTCCTCTGTCTGCCACAATGGCTACATGATTGGCTGCCCTGAAGCTTTATACATCAAGACAGGAAGGACCTAGAGATGGGGTTTTTTCTCCCGCTCAAGAAAGCCACAGGTATTTCAGAGATGTGATGTCACTGGTTTATATTTACCCATAATGCATCTGCACGTGGGGATTTATCTGAGGAAAAAGAAGTGGAGAAGGAAAAGATGAGTTGGGGTTTTTTTCCCCTCCATTATTCCAAATTTCATATATATACTTTTTCATTACACATAACTGCAATGACACAAAACATAGTATTTCTAAATCAGTCTTCATGTTCACATAATCTACATAATCATAAACATTGTGCTGGCAACTTACGCTGCAGTGAGCTAGAAAGCAAACACAAACGAATGTAGCTGGATTGAGGTAGATAGTCATGGTTGTCACCAGGGATCACGTCAACCCCTTTTCCTCTCTCATAAAACACACAATGTGCGCAAAGCATATGGTTTTCTTCTCTGGCTAGGTATTCATGCAGTCTGACTTACTCTTAGAGCTCTGTGGGAAATAAATGGGGAATAAATTCTGTGTATCACTTAAACTGTGACCCAAGTTTTACAGACGGAGAAGTGATGAATCTGTGGTATGGGCTATGATTTGATTCTTATGTCTGATCACAGTTGGACCTTTCAGTGTTACTGTTATTAATATTCTGGCTTGTCACTTTGTTCTTTTTGTACAAAGTGCACTCCTCCACGCCAAATGCATCCTGAAGGAATTTTCGAGTTGGCTTGTTCCGTCTCGATTTAACATTTTCTTCACTGGTGCATTGTTTGGTGTGCCTTTTTATAACTGCTTCATTATGAGCGTTCAACATATTTCACAGTTGTTCTCAGAAAAGAAACATCCTGCTCAAGACTGACAATAAAAAAGCTGCTGCCTACATGCTGATCCTGGTTTTGAAGATCATTTATTATTGTTAATTAAATACAACTCAAAATTAAAACTAGGTGGGGGGACTTTCAAGAAAATAAATGAACTAACTGAAATAATATTGTGTGCTCAGAAAACTAACTAATAAAATACCAGAAATATGAAATATGTTCATATCAAAGTGACTCTGTTGAGGCTGTGTTTGTATTTGGCTATGTAGATTTATATATGATATATGATCATAATAACCAGAAAAAAAACTAATTAGAAAATATAAAACTCTAATAATCTATTATTTTAAAGTACGAACACAAACATGTGACATATTGAAAGAAAAGTTTGGAATAAAATAAAATAAGATAAGATAAGAAAACCTTTATTAGTCCCACCCATGGGAAATTTGTTGTGTTACAGCAGAAAGTGGACAGTGCAAAGTTACAGTAGCAAAAATTAAGAAAAACACTGGAATACGATAAGATAAGAAGAATAAGATACTATATACAACAGAATAAAATACAGCGTTGTCAGAAAAAGAGAATAACCCTTCCACATCATTCATGCATTTGTACAGGTATAAATTACAAGTATCTCGTGTCCTGTCATCAGCGATACATTAATCTTTAGTATAGCTGCAATTTTATCATTTTACCAGCAAAGACAGAGAAATATTTAAATGAAAACACATGAACATCATACAGTTATTACACTGTTGTTAGTACATGTTATTACCTAACACTACTAGACTATGTGCAGGCTTTTGATATACATCATTCTAGGTACAACAGCCATAAATGCGTGAAAAATATGTATGCTGTCTATCTATCCTGTCGAGATAGATAGACATGTTTTTTCCCCCTATAATTAAATGTGATTAGACTCAGTATATATTGCCACCTGACTGTGCTCCATCTTTTAAAAACACAATTTTCTTGCTCTTATTCTATCCTCTCTCTTATCCTTCCTATGGCAGGGGGTGCACAGCATGTTCCAAGTGTTTCTGACAGGAAACAATTCAGAATACTTCACCATCTCCCCCACAGCGGTGCAAGGGCGTGCCGACATCAGGATGAGGGTTGCCATGCCGCTGGACTACGAACAGATTCGCAGCTTCAGTTTTTCAGTAAGTTTTTCAACTTAGTTTGAGTAGTTGTGCCCTGTAGATTTACCTGAGAAACCTGCATCACCCCAACAAAGCATAGCTGTTGGTTTTTTTGATAATATCTATTAAAAAGCCTAAAGTAGCTTAAAGATTTATAATCAATGGAAATGAACTGTGGACCAAGCCAGAGCTGTGAAAAAGAAAATCCGAATGTAACTTCATTATGTTTCTTGAAAAGTGTTTTGATTTGTTTGGACACAAGGCACAGTTAGACTGGAGCAATATCTCTTTCTAAACAGCACCGAGTTGTTTGAACAGTGAAATTGCTATTTTGTCACCTCAGTTTAACCCCGAGTTGTTTATAGAATCAGAGTAGCACACTGTAAATCTTAAATAAATTATTTCAGTAGCAAATTCAGATTACACTTTTTAGAATGCAACCAACAGCCTCCATGCATAATAATCTGTTGTTTTTTCCTTTAATCATTCTTTATATCTGAGGAAACATTCATGTGTCTGTGTGTATTCATTGCTTCTGTTCCTTGCTCTCTCTCTCTCAGCTTTATGCAAATGAATCCATGTCGGATCATGTGGGATTTGCCCGCATCTTTATTGAACTAATCAATGAGAATGATAACCGCCCCATCTTCAGCAGACCCCTCTACAACATCAGCCTCCCTGAAAACACACCACCTGGTACATCGCTGCTGCGCATCCTGGTGAGTTTCTAAGTGAACCGCTGTGTGGTGTTTACACAGCTGGGAACGTGATAAATTACTCACAGAGTGGGGATTTATTCCTGGAGAGAAACTTAACATGGCTCCAAACAGATTACAATAAAACCTGGCTTGTACTAGTAACTTTTACAGGGCTTGCTTTATTGGGGATGAAATCTTGAAGTGTTTGTTTAGCCCACGTGACCCGGTACTCTCTTGAGACTTTCCCGTACGAGTAAGAATTTAATGTGACCCAAGCAAGGCAGTGCCTGAAACTGAAAAACACAAATGAAAAACGCAGTTACCTTCTCATCTACTATACTGGGCCACAGTTAACCAAATTACTGACAGCACAGTGGTTTAGGGAGAGAACAGTAGTGTGGTTAGTCCATATCATTGTTTGGGCCAGATAAAATTACCTTCAGAATTAAGATTTAAAGTTTCATATTACGCTAAACTTCTTTGATCTGTAACAAATTGAAGCATATTGTAGAAATGCCAGTTCTAATTGGATTGTTGTTATCAGAGGAGGTTAAGGTGTATTGCTTTTCATATTGTATTGAAATTACAGATGTCAATAATAATGGCATGACTCCATACAAAATAATGCAATTTAAGAATTGAGTTTAGGATATTTTTTTTATCATATGTTGCATTATTTATTTCCTCCATGTCTATCATTGTTATGTAGTTTCACATAGCTTGAAGTAGCTTTGTAGCTGCTCCACCTCATGATCTCAGGGTCCCACCATTTAGCACCTGCAGCCACTGCTTTAATCAGATGAGGAAACAAAAAAACAAAAGCATCTCTGACTGTCTCCTCATAAGTCTGCATTATTATTCATTACTAGTCATCGCTGTGATGAACGCCCACAATCCACTAGAAACATGTGCCAAAAACCACAGTGTGAAAATCAATAGTGTTTATAGACCAGTTGTTCATGAAACGGAGATTGCAGGGCCGTCTAATACCCAATAAGTATAGCTGGTGTTGGCCTCGTGCTGCAGCATGTGGTTTGCCTTGGAATCCTGATATCTGGCTGTGGGGAGTGAGTGGACTGTAAACAGAATGAAATGTGACGGCTTCAGTGAGGAATATACACTGGCATGACTGACAGAACTCGTATACCCTGTTAGATAAAGGTTTCGATTGTCTGACCTGTTATCAAACACACACAAAACTGCACTGATATAGACATTAGTCCTCTGAGATTGAGACGTAACATGCATTTTAAAGAGGCGTTTAATATAGTACACATTTCTAGGTGGGTTTTGAGACTGAGAAATAACAGACACATACACACCTACAGGGTACAGTATATACAGTATTTAATATTAAAGCTGTGGAGCTTATACTTTTGACGTCAGATGAAAGTCCATGACTGTCTGTACTCTTTGACCTTCTTTGGTCTTCACATGGTGCTTGGAAAGTATTTTCTGTTTCAGTTGGGATTCTTTCTTTTTTCTGCACTATGAAATTTTCTTTGCAAAGATGCAGATGGCGTCTCCTGTCTCTACAGAAATGAAAGAGCACTTGTCTCTGGCAAGAGAGGAATCCATTTGGTGCAGGTGTCCAACTCCAGGAAAAGGCAAACAGCTCCAGACTTGAATATTCCCACTGACATGTTGCAGCTCCTCTAAAATCTCTAGTCATCTATACGCTTTCATGTTTAGAGACTTCTACACATAGTCTGATGTCAGTAATACTACTTGATGGCCATTACAGTGCTTTTGCTGACTGGAATCGTGTTTTCTTCATCTTGCAAATTCTGTATCTGTGGTGAAGTTTGTGCTCTTTTGCTCTGTGGGGCCAAGGCTAAGTGGTAACTTTCCACTTGCTTTATTAATGATATTGCCACCTAGGTTTTAAAGAGCCGGGGAAATCTTGTTTCTAAGTTATTAGTTTTTGTTTTGATTCCACAAGGGAAGGCAATGCAACCTAGCCCAAGGACAGAGACTGGAGCAAGGATGTGTTTGGAAAAAAACACATTTTAATTTCCCTTTCGATAATAAAAGGAAAACAATCTGTAAATAGAAGGTAACCTGACTCGATAAAAGTCAATAAAAGTGACTAAAAAGAGTAAAACAGTTGAGCATTAAAATACTAAAGGAAAAGAAACTTAACTTGTCAAAAAAACTTTATTCATAAGATATACACCGGTACATTAAAACAAATGAAATAAAATAAACTACACCAGCCTGACAAACATGCTGTTACAGCATAGTCCAGTCTGTGTTACTCTGTCCAAGATTTCAGATCAAAGCATGATCCTTTCCCATCCCCATATCAAACAGCCTGCCACAGACAGCAAACACACCTCTTCCCTCAACACTGTGCCTCCCTCCTGATACTACAACACTGGGCAGTGCTGTTGGTAAAACAGAGCTGCTGCAAACAACTCTGATACCGACACAGCTCCTAATCCCGAATGCCCCTCTGGAACTCCTGCTATCCCGACACTAGTCCAGCTGCTTTACAAAGAGTTGAAACAGGTTACTAACAGAGGTGTGCGAAGCTCTGGGCTCTGCCCTTTGGCTCCTCCAGATTTGACTATAGCATCTAGCTTTGGGTCTCGTTATGGTCGGTTAGTAATGGCAAGGTGTTTGTGGCAGCACATCTTCTACTTTGGCATCTTACGCTGGCATTCCCCATGTTCCTCTGCTTTAGGCTACTTATAATATCTCTGGGTATTGATCAGATCTCCCACCTATATCTCCATATTGCAGCTACTAAATGTTCCTCAGTGACCTGCCCCAGGCTGAAATCCTTGGCAGCTTTCTCTCACACTCTTTATTTAGGTCAATTTTACAGTCATTAAATCTGGCAGGTTATTAAAACTACACATATATCAATTAAAATCAAGACATCTAAAAACAAATAAAACCAACAACAAGCAGAAAAAAAAGCTAAAATGCTACAAGCACAAAATAAACAGGCAAAGGACATAAACCCAAATATTCTACCTTGTGACATCCCCCACCCCTTTAATGGTGGTATTTCCTAACACCTTAACCTTCATCAGCAGCTGCGCACCCTATCCCAGGTGGGGGTTGCTCTAAGGCCACGTCCACACATAGATTTGAAAATGGCGTTTTCAAAACACTCGGCGTCCACACTAGCGTTTTCAGTCATTTTCACGGAGTTGTGCGTCCACATTCCAGTACTGCACATGCGTGAAACGCAAGAAGATTCGACCTGCCTCATTTCTGTCTGCCATTTATTAGTGATGTGCGATACCACTGATTTCCTTTCCGATCCGATACCAAGTAAAATTCAGGGTGGTATCGACAAAAATGTAATGTTTCATTGTATTTCATAATACAATATTGTGGCATGCAGAGGAATCTTAACAAAGAAGCTCACAGAGAGATTGAGCTTGCTGTTCAACCCCAAACTGGTAGGGGGAGCTCTTTATTAAAACACTTGCCGGTGCTACAATGTGTCTCAGGGGTCAACAACAGCACAACAGAACTCACTCATGGTACAGCACTCTCTCTACAAAACAACAACTGTCAGTGACTTCATAATAATGTAACCATAAACAATAAAACAAAAACATCTAAACAGCAGCACATGTCCCAAGGCATGATGGGAGAGAACTAGCTGCTCCCCCAACATGCCACACAGCCCCCACCTGAGTGGTTAGCTGTCCCCAGCAACCAGCATGTCCATAGCAAAGTCTCTGGACTCAAGGGCTGATAGGGTGCCAGGCGATCACGAAGGAGTACGACCACCCTGTTCCATTTGACCAGTCACACCCTGTAGACCACGTCGGACAGCCTCTCCAGAACAGTGCAGGGTCCAACCCACTGGCTCATCAGTTTGGGGGAAAGCCCTTTCTTCCTTTCCGGGCTGTAGACCCACACATGCTGACCTGGCGAGAGTCCTTCCCCCTTGCAGCAGCTATCAGAAGCTCGCTTCTGCTGGGAGCCTGCGTCTCGGAGAGCCTGCCTGGTCAACTGGTGCACCTCCCATAGCCGGGCCAGGAGGTTGTGGAGGTAGTCCAACCCGGGGTCCCCGCACACTGGTCAGGGACTGCATAATAGGCCTCAGGCCACTTAGTGAAGTAGTCCATGGCAACCAGGATGTAGCGCTTCCCCTGGCCAGTGGTGGGGAAGGGTCCCAGGATGTCGACTCCGACCCACTCCATGGGAGCCCCCACCTGATACTGCTGCAAGGGGGCATGAGAGTGTTGGGAAGGCCCTTTCTGAGACATGCAGGCATCACAGATGGACATGGAGCTCTACATCCTGGCGACACCTGGGCCAGTAGAACCGAGACCGAAGTCGCCGCAGAGTCTTGGTAACTCCAAAGTGTCCTGCCCCCGCCACACCATGGACCAGCTGGAGGACCCTGGACCGCAACTGTTGAGGTACCAAGAGCTGGAAGACCTCATGGTGACCCCCGGGAGCCTGCCAGCGGTGATAGAGGAGGCCGTTCCGGCTTGTGAGGTTAGCCCATTGGGAGTAGAAAGCCTTGGTCTTGAGGTCCAGTGCAGATACTTCTGGCCATGATGGTCTCTGACCGGCCCCAATCCAACACTGAACCTGTGAAAGGGCAGGGTCTTGGTTCTGGTCATGTTGCAGCTGTTTGGGATCCATGGCCTCCAGACCCTCAGTGTGCCCTGCAGCGGACTGGACCTGAAGACTGCTACAGTGCCCACCTGGAACAGAGTCATTCTCATGGCCACCCTGTGGTGACGCTATCACTAAAGTCATGCCCTCCTGGTCCTCCAGGTGTTGGCAGTACCTGCACTGTTCTTCCTCACAAGGGCGTCGGGAGAGGGCATCTGCATTGGTGTGGAGACGTCCCGCCCGGTAGGGTCTGAAATGGCAGAGGCCCAGGATGATGGTCAGCAGCTCTCGACAGCCCCCACGCCCGTGTTGCTGGCATCGGTGTCCACGACAAAAGGAAGATGCAGGTCTGGGTAGGCTAGCACCGGTGCCTCAACCAGTGCAGATCGGAGCCAATCAAACGCCACAGCGCAGTCCTCACTCCAGTG